GATTTCTCGGTAACGACGTGCTGTGAGACCACCTTCATAAATTCTGTAGACTATTCGTCTTCCAAAAATAAAACATGAGACCCCAACTCCGAAGCGTTCCTGTTGTGCCCTCTCAAAAATTAAATGTTGATTTTCGGCGGACCAATGTCTTGTATTATGGCGGTTAAAAATTCCCGTACTTGAAAAATAACATTCATCGGACCAGATAACAAGTCTTCCAAAAGATTCATCGGCAAGGATCTGTTGTAAATACCATTGACAAAATATCATTCGGCGCTCGGAATCGCCAGGGTGTAAATGTTGTACTATTTGGAATTTATAGGGATGAAACTTATATTTTCGCAAAATTCTTTGAGCATCAGACTTGGATACACCAGTTGCTTCCTCTATTTGCTTGCAAGAAGATGAGAGCGCCGCTTCTACATAACCCAACACGTTTATTTGTTTTGTCTCTCTATCTTGTTTGGTATATGCCTTAGGACGGGGCTGGATAAATGACCCATATTCTACTAAATTTGATCTGAGGCGGGAAAATATATCTGGGAAAGGTTGTCTTCTTTCTGGATATCTAATATAAACAAATAAAGAATCCCTAAGAAATTATCGTAAGCATAACGCTCAAAATATGTTACCTTTGTAAATATAATTCCGAAGCTTCTTGCGGATTTTCATTAGATTGTATAAAACAAACCATCATATCATACTTTTCATTATTATCGTAAACCGCCATTGTTGTAAAATAAATTAAATATTTTGGATCAGGAATTAGAAATATCAAAACAGCAAAAATATTTCACTAATAATCAGAAACTGACAATAGCTCGTGAAGTTTATGACATTTTGCTTTCTGTTCCAAACAAATTAGCCATAGCCTACCTATTATAATTAACTTTCCTCAAAGATGGATTGGTACCAACGGACCTGTAAGAGGGCCGCCTCGATCTCCGGATCTTTCAATTTTGGTGTTTGTTGTTATTCATCACAATAATTATGTTTGAATGATGTAATAAATAATTAAGGAATGAGAAATCAAAAAATATTATTTGAATTGAGTTTGAAAGTATAAGAAGTATAATAATCACTCACATAAATTTTGTTTTCAATAAATTTTAGCCATATCCTTCTACCTAAAAATTTTTTTTTTTAAATCTGAAATTCTGAGCTTGTTTTTGAAAATAATTGTAATATACAGGGTGTTCCATTTAAAAAAACATATGTTTGCTCCATAACTAAAAAACAAAAGGTGCTAGCAAAAAAATAACTACGCCACTACGAGAAAAACTCTATAAAAACAAGTTTTAACTTCTTCGATAAGTTCAAAGATAACTGAGACACGGAGGGTGCCTGAAAAGTGATATTTTTCAATTCCACCCTGTATCTCGACAACCGGAAGAGCTATCACAATTCTGCTTGCGCCATTATTAATTTCATAAAAAAGTAGCACACTGTCGCGAAAACCGCAATGCTCTATCTTTACTGATAAGGGAGATACCCCGCAAAAGTGCCCAAATTGGGATACCCTGTACACAACCGGAGAGATGGAAGTGTGCCTCATCACTGAAGAACACAACTGCTTCAGGAGGCAAATTATCACGGAGCGTTTCGCATGCCCTTTGCCGTGAAACAAAATCATGTTCGGAGAGTTCTTGTGCGACTACCATTTTATTGGGGTGGAAGTGAAGATCGTCATGGAGTATCCGGCGAGTTGAACGCTCCGACAACCGCAGGGCAGCTGCATGTTTTGAAGCAGAGCGCCTAGGAGATCGCAAAACCGACTCTCGGACTGCCTGGTCTCCTGCGGGACACATTCCCAACTGTGTTAAAAGCCTCCACCCAGGATAAGATGGATCCCCGTGCAGGAACAGCTCCTCGAGGGGGAATATTGTACCGTAAACGGAACGCACGCTGCACCGCAATTATTGAGCGGCCTCGTGAGAAGAACGTTTCATCATCATCATCATCAAATATGCTTTATTGTCAGAAGAAATAGTTCTTATCGACAAAGTCATTGTATAGGTATTACAAAGTAAAATATTAAGAATGTTAAAAATATTAAAAATATTAAAAATATTGAAAATATTAGAAACATTGAACAACTTAAAACATTAAAAACATCAAGAACGTTATGGTACAAATACAGACATAATATAATAAAATGTGCAGATGAAGCCACAGGATGCAAACATGAAATCAATCCTAAAATATAGAGGCAAGCGTATTTTAATGCTAACATAAGGGTTCACTACTAAAAAATTCCTCCACGTTGTAAAAAGGATGAGTGGATAGCAATTCTTTTAATTTTATTTTAAACAATCTACATGATTGAATTTCTCGTAGATGTATTGGTAAGCAATTATAAATTTTTAGTCCATTATAAATGAAAGATTCTTCAACAAGATTGTTTTTAGGTAGTGGTAGAGGTAATCTCAATTTGTGCGATGATCGCGTATTATGGTTAGACGACACTATATTATATTTGTGACGATTCTTGTGTATTAATAAGCAAGTGGTTTCTGAGATGAAAATTGAAGTAACAGTGAGGATTCTATTATTTTTGAAAAGGTCGCGGCAAGAAATACGCGTTTTTACTTTACAAAGAGCCCTAATGGCTCTTTTTTGTACAACTTGCACCATATGTAACAGTTGTTTGTTGCACACTCCCCAGAAAGCAATGCCGTAGGTTAGGTGAGATTCAATAAGAGCAAAATGGATGTTTTAGCAGTTGTATAGTCCAATTCCCGTGATATTATCCTAATTGCGTAGCATCCGGTTGATAATTTTTTGCACAATTTCGTGACATGGTCGCTAAACTTCAACTTATTATCAATGTGGAATCCTAGAAATTTTGTGGAGGAAACATTATCATTGATATTTGTGCCTAAGGTCAAGGCAGAAAGCTCGCAGCGGAACGTTAATAGATTAGATTTAGTGGCATTGAAGACTAGCAAGTTATCGTCACACCAGGTCTTGATCAGTTCAATGTCTACTTGTATCTTATGATGTAAAGCATGCTCATCTTTGTCATGCCAAAATATAGTGGTATCATCGGCAAACAATGTATACTCTCCAGATATATTAATTTTTGTGAGATCATTTATATAAAGTAAAAACAATGTGGGGCCAAGTACGGAACCCTGTGGCACCTCGCATCGAGTTGCCTCCTTTCGAGAGAGGTGGTTGGTTTTCACAATTTGTGCAAACGCGCGTTGCTCTCTCGCCCAAAGCATTTTAACGACTGACGATTGTTCGGAGTAGTTCGGACAGTTGAGGAATAAATTTCCCCACCAACAAATACCTATCAGCCGATATTTCGCTGCTATGGTATTATCATCTGCATTTATCAAAACCATATCTACCAAGGTTTTCATAGTTACATTGATAACAACGATGTGATACTTCCCGGCCTAGTCCGGGAAGTACGTACTGTTGAATGTAACACTAAAATCCCCAGAGATATTTAGGTTGGTATTGGTAGGTTGTCAACATGTCAGTGTGGTGACATATGAAGTTTACTTTATGTGAATATATTCGCGGGAATCAATGTTACCAGGTGGCGCTCGGTTTTCATCGTTCCATGTCAAAGCCACGTCAAAACTGATAAGAGTGATAACACTTTATGTCATTGACAAGTTTGACAACTACAGCTACAGCAAGATGTATGCAATGTAGTCTATGCACTTTTTCTATAGACAACAGTTTGTTTTTCCCCAGTTTGAAGTTCGTATTATGTAATCTAGATGTCGCCCACTTCGTGAATCTCGCGAATATCAGACGACAGAATGTCTTTGCTCTCTCTTGTTGATCATCTTTGGTTCTGTAGTACAAGTAAAATATAATGGGAATAAAAAGCACAGCATAGTATCGATATAGTGTGTTATTTATTGAAAATACTATAAGAAAATGAAGAATTAAAAGTTAGTTTGCACAAAAATCAAAACGCACTTCCCGGACTAGGCCGAAAAAATGCTACTTTCTCAAAGAAAAAACGTCCGGGAAGTGAGCACCTCTCGGACGGTTGTAGAAAAACAGTTTTTTTTTCATCTAGGAATATTTTGAGGCGGATATCCAACACTCAAAAATTGGCAGCCACCCTCCTCCCCATACGCAGCGTCGGCGTACAGGGTGATTGTCGGTCCTATAGCTACGTTGTTGGAATCTCTTCAGAAAAGGAACCGGATTGGGACGATCTGACATTCCTGTCGTGCCTCATACCCAGGTAAGGAATTCTAACTAGGAGATTCAGGATGAACAGAGTTGTCCCAATTGTCAGCAGGAGCGAGACAGTACTGTTTCGATCAACCAGGTCTCATCAGCCGCTCTCGGTCTGCTGACAACTGGGACAACTCTGTATAACATGAAGTTATAGTCATGTTGTAGCCATCTAGTAGCAGACTGAGAGCGGCTGATGAGACCTGGTGGGTCGAAACAGTACTGTCTCGCTCCTGCTGACAATTGGGGCAACTCTGTTCATCCTGGATCTCTTAGTTATGAGATCTAGCAATTAGGCAGGTATTTAATACTTCCTTGTCGTAGAATTACCTCTTTTGCAATATCTAGCATTAACAGATGAACAATATTTCCTTGAGATAGTACCACATTTTTTTATTGAAAACCTTGCCACTCCACAAATCACCAGAAAAAGCTGGTGGATATCTGCCACTATAAATAGTGGAAAAAACATGACAAGTTGTTAATTTATTATCCATCTATGCCTTGGAGAATCAGATAATCTGTAAGTGGTTCAAATAACCCATGAACTTCATATTAACCACCCGAATGACAGTCGGGCCGATTATTTTTGCTCTCTCGATCAGCCTCATTTACGACATGACTTTTCCGGACACTCTGTATACCATAGGACAAGGTCCACAGTTGAGTTTGTATACCCCTGATTCTTCGAATTTAAAAGTTTTGTCTTTATTATTTTCGATAAAGCTTCCCAACAGGATATTTCTTCTATAGGCAACTTTTAAGTCCTGTTTACGTACACTACACTACATCGTAGTGGCTGTTGAAATTTTTTCCATTTGCCGCTTTCTACTAATGCTGTTAACAACATTTAACGACCAAAAAGAGGGGAAGTGATCATATACAGGATCTTTTTTTATATCGTTTTGCATACACTATGGAAATGCATCTCAAAGAATGGAGAGTCCAATACTGGAGTTTGAAATATAATGGAACAAATCAAAAATATTTATTAAAGAAGTAATAAATAACGGTTTATTTCATTAACCTACATCAAATGTTCAAAATGTTCTCCGTTGTTCTCCAAGCATTTCAAAACTCTTCGCCGTTTGTTGTCGAAAATGTTCCTCAGCATTTCCGGGCCAATATTTTGGCAGCAATGTGCTATTGAGGCTTGCAGCTCTTCAAGGTTATTATTGTCTCTCTTGAATACTTCGTCTTTCAAATACCCAAAAAGGCAGAAATCCAAAGGCGTCAAATCTGGAGAAAGTGTTGGAAAAAAAGGATTGAAACTCCTCGACACGTTTGTCATAAAATTCTTGTAAATATTCTAAATTTGCACGTGTGGTGTGGGAAGTGGCCCCATCTTGCTGAAAATAGCCAACTCGAATTTCTTCATCATGAAGTTGATTGATGAATGGTTCTCACATCACTTGTCTGTACCTTTCACCATTGATAGTGCCATCGAAGAAAATCGTTCCACATATTCGCCTACGAGAAACTGCTAACCACACCCCAATTTTTTGAGAATGTAGTGGAGTCTCAATGCAATTGTGGGGATTCTCAGATCTCCCAGACCTAAAATTTTGTGAGTTCACGTATCCCGACAAATGAAACCAAGCCTCATCGCGGAAAAATGTTAGGTCCAATAGCTGGTCATCGTTGAGATTATTTTGGAACCATTGGCAGTACTCCAGACGACGTAGGATATCTATTGGCAGAAGTTGCTGTAGTACACTGGTCTCGTAAGGGTGCATATGCAATCTTTTCTAGAGCACTTTATGGCATGTACTTAGTGGCACACCAGATTGTAAAGATAATCTCTTCAATGACGTTTGGGGATTTTGCTCAACACGCGCCCTTAGATTTTCGACAACTTCTTCCGATATTTGGGGCTTTCCTGTGGATTTCTTTTTATTAACGTTTCCACTTTGGAAGAATCTGTTGATCACTGTTCTGATGTGGGCTTCCAAAGAAGATTCTTGAATCTGTACATTAAGATATTTCGCCAGGTACTCATCCTTGCAGGCTACTACCGAGTAACTCCATCCACCATTGATGAATGTGCCATTTCCACAATAAGACATTACAATAAATGTATTCTGCTCCGAGGAATAAGCCATCCCTTTTCAACACGACAATCACGAAGTAGAAAACAGAATCGTTTGAAAATTTTATCAGCTATGACAGTATAATGATTGATGTCAGAAATTAAATTCGAATGTGTGAATATCCATAAATGAAAGGCGGCAAATGGAGAAAATATTTCAACGGCTACTACGATCATTTATAGAAACCCTGTAGAAATGATGCTAATTTTTCAGTTGGTGCGAAATAGGTCAAAGTTCTATAATTCGAATTATTTTTGTTTTTTATGGTGGAATATTTTTCATCCTTGTTAGCGTGTTTCCACGTTTACTATTAGCAGTCTATGTATATGATCGAATCACTTCGTGATTTTCCATAATTGGCCTCTCCTCGTCTCGTTCCCTAATCAATGTTATTTTATTATTTTCGGTGAATTTAGGATATGCCGCAACGTCAACAGGGTGTGTTACGTCTTCGGTGGCATAGTCAAGGAGGCCTTGCCCGACGTCACGCCCACTTACCTCAGCGGCAA